GTATTGAAGAAGAAGAAAAAAGAGAACGCAGTCGAAACGGTTGCTTACCATGATCAACTTCGATTAACTCCTAATCCGATCAACTTCACAAGGTAATCTCATGCTCGAGGAGATCCAAAATAAAGTTCGTGATTGGATTGTTTCCAGAAAAGCTGCAACTGGTAATTTCCCGGACATTCCAGGAAAATTTAAGAAAATTACTATTCCTTTGCGATTGGGGGAAAAATATTAGTTCATGCGATAACCTCTTATTCAAGTGCCATCTTTCCTTTTTCGATCAGACGTTTTGTGGACTTCTTCTTGCCTCGAATGTGTTTTTATTAATAAAAATTGACGGATTTGATGAAAATTATTGAATATTCTATTCTTAGGCCTCGGACGTAAAAAATACGATTTTCACCATCCGGTCATCGCACGGGAACATGAAAAGGCACTCCGGGAGAAAAATTCTGTGAACAGAACTATTCTGTGGAAAAAAGAATTATTCTCACGATAACAACCCCCCCCCTTTCCGGGAGAATAAAATTTTTTTTGGCGAATGCAGAAGTTGTTTGCTGCCAAAAATTAGTCCCAGCGGTAGAAAAAGACTACCCCTGCCAACCCAATAAGTTCTCTATCAGAAAGTGCGCGCAAGGGGCGTAGGGCCGTAGGGTGCTTCATAGCCTTTTCGGTTCAGCTTCTTTTAACAAGCAGTCATTGTTATAGATTGTTTTTGGGTGCAAGATTCGAAGACCGACTGAAGTCAATCCTTTTCCACTCTAAGACATGAGTTCCAGAGTATTATAGGCTATCTACGACATAATCAAAATGAATTTTGATAAGCTCGACACAGAATTGTTCTGTTTCAAACAGAATGCTTCTGTTTTAAACACAGTAGTTCTGTTTGCAGAGAATAGTTCTGTCTACAGAAATTTTCTCCCTCCGAGCCCCTTTTATGGCTTTTCTTTCGATTCTTCTGATTTGATAAAGCTTCATCAAAAACATGTGAGTTGAAGTTTATGTTTTGATTTGGATTCCAACTGGGGCATGCCTACTGAGTAGGCCCTACTCTATCATTCGTGTTTCGAAAAAGCTCAATCAAAGTCTTTTTTTCATCTTTACGTTTTTGAGTGTGTGAATTGTATAATGACAGTCGCGCTGACTCCGACCAAATGAGGACCTTGTAGTTGCATTTCGTCGTCTACTCAAGATTTTATCGGGCTTAAACTACTATAGTGGATCTCAATGTGCAATACGCGCTGCGCGCGGAGTTACATTAACTCCTGCGCAAACAAACTCCTCCGCCCGGACAGACTTCCCTGCGCACGGACAGACTTCTCTGCGCGCGGACCAAGCTATCTACGCCCGTAACAAAGAATCCTGCTCCCTACGTAAAGCCCTTTCTCCCTGTGCACAAACTTCTTTACGCACGTGATTATTCATTTCCCTACGGAACTCTCTTTCTCCTCACGCACTGTACTACCTCCGTACGGACCAAGCTCTGTCCGTACGCACAGAAATAGTATATAAGTCGATCAGCTTTGCAACTAAACTCACTCATCAACCATTATGTAAAATTGCTCTTTTTTACAAAACAACGTTCACTATTTTTATCCTGCTCGCGATAACAATAAACTACATATTCGTATCCAACTTATGTACATTGAGAAACACGTACATATTTTGGTGACTGAATAAAACGGAACGCCTCCCAACAGATACAGTCAGAGATAGAGATCAAAGATGGAACAAGCCAATGAACGCTCAAAATCCCTTTGACAAGTGAAGATGAAAACCCCGAAGAAGTTTCAACAAAAGAAAAAATATTTTCAGCGCTCAATCCTCTGAAAGCGCAAAACAATCTGAAATGGCACGAATCTGCTCCGAACTTAAGGAAATGATCAATTCCTTTTATGAATGACCAAAATTTATCTTCGCGTGCGAATCGACTCATTTCGGACCGGCCTGGACAAACTGTGTTATGATTATGCTCAACGGACAAATTTTTCCGCCTCCTCAAAAGTGACGTGAAAGAATATTCTGCTCAGATGTTCAAGATCTTCGTCAACTACCTGTAATTTGACTCGCTCAAAGGTCTTTTGGAATCATCTTCTTAATGATTGAAGTCAATATCAAGTATCACGGCGTCACATCAGTTAGATCCGCCCGCTCATACAAAAAAAAACTGATAAGAAAAATGAGAATTTCTGCAGCAATAATGCTCTAACCTGCTGCATCTTGAAAATGAATAAGCTCAAAAGCATCGATCTGTTCCGACCGATGAAAAATTCAGCTGATGCTCACAATCCCTGCCTAGATGGATCTTTATGGAGTCTTTGGAAGGGCAAATTTGAGCAATGCCTCTTCATTCAAGGACGTCTCAAGAACAAGTTTGGTGTCACTTTCAATACATTGCTCTTTGCCTGTTTACATACTGGAAAGAAGATGGAGGATTATCAAGAGTTATTTAAAAAATTAAAGGTTATTTTTAAGGATGTCACGGGTCAATCTCGCTTAGTTACTGATCAAGAATGTGGGCTTAAAGGAGCCGCTGAGAACGTGTTTTTCAATGAAAAATTTGGCAAGTTTTGCTATTTTCATTATGTTCAAAACAGAAAGAAGGATTTTGCGAAATTCAAAAAGGAACTTGAATCCTCAGGTTTACTTTTGCGGTATTTCTCCGTTATTCGCCTTCTTCCCCTTCTTTCTGATACCATATCAGTAAATTTTATCGAATGGTTGAGAAATGACCTAGCTGAATCCAAGGATTGTGTATTCTTTGAATATACAAAAATTGATAAAAACCACATGAAATTGATCGACGCAGAAAATCTAACCATGAAACTTGTACTCGATAAAAAACTCGAAACACTCGAGAACCGGTTCAGATCTCATGCAGGATCTCTCTCTTGGTATCAAGAACTCGTTGATGCCAAAGGACTCTTTGTGGATCGCACATCCAATAGTTTGGAGCGATCTAATCGTGAATTTAGAGATCTATTCCGAAAGAGCTCCAACAAAAGAGTGGTTGATAGGATTCAGCTTATTAAGGTTTTGATACTCGAGAAAAACTTGGCGTTTCTTATTGATTTTGATCGCAGAGAAAAGGCTCGTCCTCAATCTCGATCTACGGAATTATCCGCGAAATCAACTCAGAGGCTCCTTAAATTGGTACATGATCAGGCTCAATCATCCTTTGACTATCCCGAAATTTTTGAAATTCTCGGTAATGCCTTTCAGAAATCTGACCTTTAAAATCTTTCTACCTTTTCTATTTTTCTACTTTTAACATTTATTTTATATTTTATAAAGCATAAACAAACAAAAAAAAACATTGTTTTTATTAAAGATCATTTACCTGAACTGTCGTTAACATCTTTGTCCAGCATCAGCAAATCGCAAAGACCAGAATTCAAATCAAGAGCTGAATTCTGGCCCCTCGTGCCAGACTTGAGAAAATAAGGCGAATTCTGGTTCGGGGGACCAGAATTAAACTCTTGAACGAATTCTGGTTCGGGGGACCAGAATTCAGATTTTGGTCGAATTTTGGCTCGGGGACCAGACTAATTGCAACCCTCCGGAAAATTTGAAAATCGAATAAGTTACTTTTCGCAAGAAATGTATTCTGAACTCGAAAAAACCGAGGATCTTGTTCATCCCGAGCTATCGGAAATCTACAGAAAAGTAAAACCGCTATCATTCTATACTATGGCGATATGAACCGTAATATCAGTCGCTACGATATTGTTCTTTCTCTTCAAATACGTCTATGCGTCAAATAAAATAGAAAATTTTCAATCGTTTCAGAAGTCAAGAAAATCAATATCAAGATAGTCAACCATTTGAGCAACAAACTAGAAGCTTTCGTCAATACAACCTCTAAACCAACAGAAATCATACAGAACTCCTCTCTCCCGTCGCGCTTAACATTCTTGCCAGCTTCGCCACGCTCCCTTATTTCACACATTTAAAGCTCTCAGCGCCACACTTAACTCCGCTGGCGCGCACAACGCCTGCCAAAACGCCATTTTCGCCCCTTACCACTCCGTCGCGCCACTGGATGTCCAACTTCACACCTTGCCGCGCCCGACGCGCGAAACGCTGCCATTCTTAGCGCCACTTTCGTCCCTTACAACTCCGTCGCGTCACGCTGCTGCCAACTTCACACCTCGCCGCTGCGCCGCGCGCATTGTCAACCCGTTAATTGTTGATTGAACCTATCCGCGCGCGCAGAAAAAAATGTGCAATTTACAAAAAAGGGATTATGACGTCACTGACATACCTTGGTTGCCGGAAAACAAGCTATTTGATATCGAATTTGAAAGAAACATAAAAACTTCTCTATTAAAGAAGAAAATTATTATATTTGGATTCACAGCTAAGAAAAATGTCAGTTATTCAATAAAAATAAATCAAAAAAAGAAGGACAAAGCTTTTTGATGTATTTCATAGGAGAATTGTCCCCGTAACTCGTCACCCCACGCTTGTTCGTTACTCTGATGATAAATCAGCGAGCGACTTCGGAAAAGGGCTTAATCGCCGATAAAAGCACTGTCGCGAGGCATCATAAGAATTGGAGAACACGCTTCTCTAAGCCAATGTAATTATGGGCATACTTCTTCGGGGTAGAACTCGTAGAGAAGAAACCGGATACGTCTTTCAAAAGCGCCGTCGTCTCGTGGAGTCTTGGTTTCACATATTACGTAAATCTCTGCGTAGCCCATGTACGCGCCATCTGCGCTCCACCGGAACCGATACAGCACCGCTACGACGATTTCTTCATTAACGTCTAGTCCGCCAGTTTGAGCGAAAATCCTAGCTGTTTTATTGTCAAAGGTGATTTCGCTCTATATATTTATTTATTATTTATTATATTCTATTGTTTATTAATATCTATTCTAGGCACAAAGATGACGATGTGGAAGGGCTTGCAATCGGCGCGGAAAATCAAGCATGAGAGCTGCGAGGTCCTGTGCAAAGTATTCGACGAGGGCGTTGTGTACAGCAATGCACGGGGCTGGATGACCCGAAAAATTTTCCAGGAAGAGATTAAAAGGTTCTCTAGGCATCTGTCCCGCACCAAGCCCGGCACCAAGAACCTTCTCCTCCTGGACAATTTTTCGGGTCATCTTATTGACCTCGTCGCACTAGGTGTGCACAACGTCCAAGTCGAATACTTTAAGCCGGGCTGCACAGGCCAGTTCCAGCCCTTGGACATGCTCTTCTTTGCTGCCCTAAAAAATCAGTACAGAATTTTCCTGAGGAAATTTCGTCAAGGGCAGCAGAAGAGCAGTCCGGGGCTGGAACTGTCTGTAAAGACCGTCGCCCGGCTTGGTTCCGAGATGAAGCCCGGCATTGTCAGGGCTTGTTGGCGAAAAACTGGTCTCACCAGATTCGCAAAGCTTCAGGTAACTTGCCTTTTATTTATTCATTTATTTAACGTTATATCTTATTTATAAACTACTTTAGGGCGACACGATCGACAATGAAGAAGAGGAGATAAGGCGGCATTCAATCGAGAGGATCGAAGAAGAACTCGCCCAGCTTCAGCTTCAAGACGACGATGAAGAAGATGTTGAGGTCATGGAGATTGCTGAACAACAAGTTGAAGTTGCTCAACAAGCTGCTGAACAGCGAAAGACTCCAGAGCCAAGGATAAAAAGAGCCCAGCCAAGCATTCTCAATTTTTTTTCAAAAAAATAAACTTTTGGTCGATGATCCCTCGTTTTCAAAATTTTCGGGTTTTTGTCAAAATACTCGTAATTCTCCCACTCGTAATTGCCACAGTCGACTGTATCTGATAACGACGTCGAGCATTCCATTGCCGTTTGCAGTGAATTCATTATCACCAACTGCGACCATACTGAAGTACCCTGATACTTGAACCTTTGAGAAATTTGCTATCCTTCTGGATAACGATGAGCCGCCGTATTAGCAGACGCTTTATCACCAGGCCGCTAAATGTCAGAGCTCAAGATCTGAAGATCAAATCTGAGAGAGAACAGAAAACGGAGAGAGTAAAATGCCAAGAAGAACTCAAAATCGCTGTTTCCACAAACCGGACTTTAGCGCGAGAAACAAATTACTCGACATGACCCTCTGGAAATTAACGAACAAAATAGAGTCTGGAAAAGTCGAAAAAAAGGGCTTCTCGCTTCAGCTGAGACGCCAGAATTCCGAATGGAAATCCGCTCCCGAAAAGATGTCACAGTAGAATACCTTAATACCGATGCAGAAGGAATAGTTCTTTATAGATTTGAAGACCAAACTGCATCGAGAATTGAACGAGACTGCAGCAAATCTTCGGACAATACCACTTTGAACCACAACGACGACAACGAAAACCAAGCTATCGACCAGGCTATCATTATCGACTGATTCTTTCTATTATAAATTATAATTTATAATTATTATATATTTATAATTAACCTCAAAACCTCAATGTTGTTTTTAATAATCCCTCCTCATCATCTTATTCGCTAACAAAAACGTGCAATTATTTCTTAACTACTAGCTATTTCTTTTTGATTAGGAGGGGACATGTATATATACAGTAGATAATCCTCTATTGCCAATAGACTATTGGGTAGGTCAATTTATCGCGTCGCTACCCATAAAAGGATTCGGTACCCACCGCGCTCCATCTGCAAAATAGTGGCAAAATTGAGCCTCGCTTTCCAGAACAGGATTCGGCGCGCGCTACCCACTAGAGGATTATCTACAGTATATATTATTTCGTTATTTTATACGTGTGTAAAAATCTTAGAAAACCAAATTAAAAATCATTAAAATTTAAAAATGATCACCAAGAAAAATCACAAAATATATTCAGAAAAATTCAAAAACAATATTCACAAAAGTTACGTGTATTTTTCTGTGCAAATTATCGCCACGTTGTTTTCACTGTGTTTCAAATCTATGTTCAAATCGTTATTTTTACATTGATTGCTAACTCTTACCTGTTATCCTTTATGTATTCTTGCTGATTTTCTTCGCCATTTTTTCTCGTGCTTGGGAGGGATGTAGAGATCGGAATTTTTTTTATTAATTCTGATTTTTTGTCCAAGAAATGAGTAAATCACTCCCAAACGTATCCTATCACACAGGCTCTCTGACTAATCGAAATTGGTCTTTTTCGGGAAGTTTGGTAATGCATTTCCAAATCTTTTGCTATTAAGTGCATTTTCAACAGGGTGACGGGCGGCCACGTTCTGCATAAGGATTTTTTTAACGATGTAACTTGATTCTTATCAGTTAAAACGCAGTCAGTTAAGCTTAAAGAGTAACTCCTGACTTAAGAAATTCTAAGATATCCTTCAAGACAGGCGCAAAGCGCATATATTTTTGAGTGCAGAACGCCCTTCTGTATTTAGAGAACGCCATTTTGCATTTGCAGAACGCCGTTTTGCGGCAGAACGTGGCCGCCCTACAACCTTTTCAACAGGCATTTATAGCGAAACTTCTCGATCAAAATCTTCGCTGAATTTTTTTAAACACAACTCGGGCTGCGCTTCCAAAAGAAAACTATCAATACGATTTGTTGTAAATACAGTGATAACCCATTTTAAGGCCCATCATTTTTAGGCCATTTTTTTTCGAAAAAATCCGAAAATTTGTCATGCTCAAAAAGTCCATTCTAAGGCCACTTTTGATGGTCATTTTTTTCCAAATTCGAAAAAACAGTTTACCCGCTAAATTTAGCGAAGAAATGAGGTTTCTTCATCGCTATCAGGATAAGATTCAGCCCGAAATAATCAGAACTACAGTTGGTCCTTGATTGATTCGAGAATCTAGCGTTACAACTGTACGCTTTTAATCTTTATAAGAACTTTATAGTGCAGCCAATTTAAATAGAATTTCAAATTTAAGATTTCTGTTCTTCTTTGGAGAATCAGTTGGAATTTAGGGTTTAGGTAATACCCACAAGTAAAAATTATGAAAAATGACAAAGTTAAAGTAGGAGAAAAATGCGCTCAAAGTCGTAGCATTCCGGATTCTACGCGAGCGGCAAGCCAATGTAGCGGAGCGCTCGGCAACGGGTTAAGGCCACTTTTATAGATTCGCTCAGGGGTCTGGATTTTGCCCGAAAGTGAAAAGCGAAAGCGAAGCGAAGGCGAAAATTTTTTAAAAAATTTTAGCGAAAGCGAAGCGAAGCGAATTAAAATTTCAAAAGCGAAAGCGAAGCGAAGCGAAAATTTTCTTTGAAAAGCGAAAAAAAGCGAAATTTTTTCATCATTTTTTGGATGAATAAAATTCATTTTTTCTTTATACCGATGATTTTTGATGATTGCCCCGAAAACTAAAGCCCGAATTAGCGACACCAAGCGAGCATTTGCCTCGTTTTTTCATGCCTGGAGGACCCCTCCTGGTGGAAGAATTTTAAATTGAAAGAAGAATAATCTTCTTGAAGGGAATTCTTCATTCAGAAAATTTCTCGTCACGTTAACAAAATTTTGCTATAAAATAATTTGCTATGGTAATTCATTTGAAGTCATGAAAGGCCCCACAGAATACTATGTAAAACCATAATTTAAATTCGGGATGAATGAACTGGGGTTCATTAAAAAATGGGTGTGGGTGGGGTTGGGGATAGAACTGAGACTGATCATCTCTAAACTATCTTCTTATCCCAGCCTACATACCTTATGTACCTCGCTCCAGGAGCAAATCCCGACCCTATGAACGCAAAACTATGATCAAAATGTAGCAGATGAGCTCAATTCTCACAGATGTCTTGTACACTTGTGCTCCTTCCGACTCAAATTGAAACTTCTGCTCATGTTTATGATTTTTCTTAATCCTAGTGGCTGGATATGACCAAAAATGATGGTTTTAGGGGTTTCGAGAAGAAAGCTTTGGATTTATTTGAAAAGATTTTAATATTTTAATTATCAAATAATAGCTAATCGAAATTTTTTTGAAAAGCGAAAGCGAAACGAAGCGAATTGAAATTTTCAAAAGCGAAAGCGAAGCGAAGCGAATTCGCTTCGCCTCGCTTCGCTTCGCTATATGGCGATTTCGCAAAGCGAATCCAGACCCCTGATTCGCTGTCATCCAAAAATCGGCCTTAAAATGGATTTTCACTGTATTTTCCTTTTTTTGCTGGACGATTTGGGAGAAACGCTCGTCTAAATAACCAATTGGTAATGCATTACCTCGGGTACCCGATTTAATGCCGCCCAATTTAATGCCGCTTTTTTTGAAAAATCGGTAACCTGCAAATTCCAATTTAATGCCGCTTTTTTTGAAAAATCGGTAACCTGCAAATTCCAATTTAATGCCGCTTTTTTCGGAGAGGTGGTCGAAACTTTTCTGCATGTAGAACTACACTGCAAAAAATGGCACTATTCTGCAAAAAGAAGAGCTATTCTGCGCTCAACAGAACTATTCTGCCGAATGCAGAACTATTCTGCACAAATGTAGAACTATTGTGCACAAATTCAGAGCTATTCTACATAGTGTTCAATCGAGTCGAGGGTTCCCGATAGGGAGCACGCTTCGGGCTACGGTCCCTGCGGGCGACTTCTTGTAGGGAACTTATTTTTGAGGATGACGGACTTTCAGAAAGAGACTCTACTCTCGCGCCTTCTTTGATAGAAGTTGTTTCGTCTAATATAATGCTAATATAATGCAGAATTATTTCTAATATAATGCAGAATTATTTCGTCTGTAAATTGCCCTTTTTGATTGTCCATTATGTTGTTTTGAGTAGTATCGCTTAAAATCAAAAGCAGTTAACAAAAACTCTGCCTACAGACTCTATTAATAACCAAAAATCTCGACCAAATCAATTTCAAGATCGGCAACCATACGATTCCAATTTAATACCGGATTTTCGAAATTTTGGTGCCAAAAAGCGGCATTAAATCAGGTACACGAGGTACCATTTTTGGTAATCCATTACTGTAAGAGGAAGAAATGCCGGGCTAAGATGTCATGGAATAGAGACTGGTTTATTGCGGCACCCGGTGCCGTATTTATGCAGTTGTGCATGAACTTGATGCATGATGTTACAGTAGTTACGTAAAGGTCGTAGTCAAGGACGAGTATAAGAATCTTACTCTGAGTCTGCCCGACATTTCTCCTCACAATTACCATTCGAACCATTCGGACCATAGTCAGTGCTTACGCTGTTTTGGGCTGTTATAACCACTGGGCGCGGGCAAGGAGTGTTTGTTTGTATGACCCGTATTGTTTGTTATTACTGTTTTAATTTTGCGCATAAGGGTGAACCTTGAGAAAATTACATGGGCTTTAAGGGAGACGGACGGTGCCAGTACCAAATTGGAACCCGGAACAAAAGTCAAGCATTTTTTCTGACTCATCAATAAACTAATGCCGGCTCCGCGGCTGAAGTGTGAGGAAACTCCATTTATTAACCGAATAAACCTTTTTAAATAAATTTTGGCTCCGTATCCTGACATTTTTTGGTAATGGGTACCAATTGTGGACTGGTACTTTTTAATTGTTAGTTTCTGGTAAAAATGATCGTTAACCCGTTGCCGAGCGCGTAGCATTCAGGATGCTACAACCTGCCCCGTGGCTCAAAATCCAGGGTCGACACTGACTATGTCGTCGCATGTCGTCGTTTTTGGCGAAAAGTAACAAAATTTCAAGAACAAGTGTATTCTAGAAAATAATCATGGAAATGTGTAAAACATTCGATACTCGGCCGTGAGCCCTAGAAACGTCCAAAATGAGCCAAAGTCATCAATTTGATGAGCACGCGACGGGCCAAAGGCCCTTACGCGCGCATATTCTGGTAGAGAACTCATTAGGTTGGCGGGGCCCAACTCTCGCTCTTGCTAAGAGCAACCGACTGTTCGGCTAATTGGAATCTCTAGAACGCTTTGTTTTCAAAATTTAAAATTTTTCTTTTATTTTTTGAATTTCAGAAAAAACGACTACATTCGACGACATTCGACGACATTCGACGACATAGTCAGTGCGCCCCAAATCCAGCCTTACTTTTGGCGTAGACGGCCTTTATACACTTCGCGCTTGGCAACTTTCTGATCCATCAAAATTATCATCAGAGCACAGGGAAACTTAATAGGCCATAGAATGACCCGAAAAATAGATTGGAATAAATCAGTTGGGACAAAAATAAATCTGCAATAAAGTTAACATGATGCAGTTAATTGTGAAAATTTAACAAGATAAGGATGATGGCGGAACGAAATTCTTATTCCAAAATATGTCGAAAGATATTGATGAGGATCATAAAAAGTAGGCGGAAATTCGAATGCCGTAAAGCTTTGTTTATATGAGAAAATAAAAGAAGGAGACCCGCGGGATGTTTCCTTACACCGATCATATCCTTGTCGTGGTTCTCGAAAGAAGCCGATCATGATACGATCTTTTTTTATGTTTTCCTC